AACATTTTTTCTGAACTACCGCTTCTAAATTAGAGCTCTTAGATGCACTTTGTGAGCCAACTTTAAGCTGGTGCTGCCCTGTAGCCTCTTTCTGTTGTGGAAAAGCAGGTTGGCACCGATTGGCTCATCTTGGTGGCTTGCCTAGAGAAATAATTTCAAATTCATTGGAGAACCGAGTAGCCAGTATTAAAAGAAGAAGGGAAGAAGAAGACTAGTTTGGGCCTTTTATTTTTTTTATTTTTTATTTTTGGCCCTTTTGTTTTGGGCTGAGAGAGTTGAGTATTCAAAAAAGTTTGGGAATTTTTCTTTTATTTTTAGTTTTGGCTCCTTTGGTTTGGGTTGAGAGAGTTGGCCCTTTTTGTAAAAAAAAGTTTTGGGCCATTTTTTGAATAATTTTGAATATTATTTTATTAAATATTAATAAACGACTTCACTCATACGATCGGTGATTATCGACAGTCAATGGTCAATTATCAACATTCGGTTGGCCCGTCCTGAACTTTTGTATTGGGTCTGCCGCTGCGCTGGACGTCGATAATTTTGAATGTAGCCGAAGTTTTGGCTCTTCTATGTGACAAGTACAAAATGTAAGTGCAAACTTTGAAGGCCAATGACCAATCCAATTCCTGTAGTCTCATCAATTGAGATCTTTCTACTATTACATACTGTTAGGTTTTGTAACAAAAATTCGAAGTGATTTAGACGTTTGTTGCATGAAAGAAGTGTAAGGTACTTGGATTTGTAGAGTCCTAAATTATGGAGATCAAATTTCATTAGGGGTCGGAAGTTTGGCTTAGAAAAGGATTTGGAGATGAAGTAAAACATTTTGGAACGGAAAAAAAAATAATAATTTCAACAAGCTCGGCGCCGGGGGAGGGAAACTGACGCCGCAGCGCCGTGGAGCCCCTGTAGCGATTTTTTTCTTGTTTTTTTCATTTTCATCTGGATTTGGGGACTTTTTCTTCATCTTAGACTCTATCTCATCCACAACTTCTAGATTTAACTTCTATAAATACTCCATAAGATATAGGTACTTTAAAAAGGTGAAAAGGCAATATTCAAGAGAGATTATAACGATTAGATTATTGTTGTATACAATAGAAACAAGAGAGAATTGTTTATATTAGATTGAGATGATCAAAATCTTNAAATCTTGTAAGACAATTGTTTGTTACTTGGTATAATAAATTCTCATATTCTACAATTTTCTTGTTGTTGTGTGATCTATTAAATTTCATATTGTCCATATTTTTCATCTTTAATTATTTGGCCGGCTTCTCACAAGTGATATCAAAACGTTCTTGATATTGGGTTGGTTCATAACAAGTAGTATCAAAGCCAAGGTTTTTCTGATAGTTTTTTGGGAAGTCCAAATTGATTATTAAACCGAGGTTGAAACAAGGTCGATTATTCAGAGATAATAATTTTAAAATTTGAAATTCCGCTTTTGGATTGCAACAGTAGATTTTCATTGTGGCGAATCAAGATGCAGGCGATTCTTACTAAATGGATCTTGATGATGCTTTGTTGGGGATTGATTGAATCCCTACAACAATGACTGTAGAGGAGAAACAACGGAAGGATCAAAAAGCCCTATATCAGATACATCTTCATCATTCTATTGAAATTCTCTAGGACGTGGTAAAGGAAAAAAGTGCCATTATATTGTGGTTGAAGTAGGAGCAGCTTTGTGTGACAAAGAACTTGACAAGTTACGTTTCAAATAGCGCTTGTATTCTTATCACTTGACGGAAGGTGGATCTTTGGAAGGTCATCTATTGGTGTTCAAGGAAATCGTCCCTAATTTGAAAACAATGGAGATTAAGTATAATGAACTTGATTTAGGGCTGATATTGTTGTGCTTGTTGCCGCCTGATATGACTTTTAAAGATACCATTCTCTATAGTCAGGATACTTTTACAATTTACTAGGTATATGATGCGCTTTATTCTAAGGAGAAGATGAAGCATCTGGTCGTCGATTTTAAGGCTCATGGAGAGGGTCTTGTTGTTTGTGAGAGGAAGAAGGGTAGTCATGGAATGGGTAAAGTCAAGAATAGCAACAACAGTAGTGGTATATTCTGTTGGTATTGTAACAACAAGGAGCACATGAAGAGGGATTGCTATAAGTGGTGGAAGTGGTTTGCTACTACAGATCAGGATGAACAATCAGAAAAATTCAGTAATGTTAATCTTTCAGAAGAGAACGATGATGGAGATTTGTCGGCGATTGTTGAAAGTGACTCCAAACCTAACGAGTATTAAATTCTTGATTCAGATTGCACTTTTCATATGTGTTCAAACCGGGATTGATTTTCTTGATATGAAACAGTTACAAAGGATTCCGTGATAACGTTAAGCAAGAGCCTTGTGGAATAGCTGAGATTGGTAACATCAAAATCAAGATGTCGAATGGGATGGTTAGAACACTTGGCCAAGTTCAATATGTTCCAAGTATAAACAAAAATCCGATCTCTTTGAGTACTCTTGATTCAAAAGAATATAAGTATACCGGTGGAGATGGAGTTCAGAACGTTAGTAAAGGTTTCCAGGTTGTGCTAAGGGGGCGGATGAACTCCCGATTATATGTTTCGGAAGGTTCGCCAATCACTGAGAAAGTAGCTGCAGCTTATGGTTTAGTAAGCGATAACTCAGGTAGAGTTGGTTGTGATCGGGTTGTTCCTGGTGATTTGGACAATAATATTTGAATACCTTCCACAAGCTCAGGTGGAGTTGGTTGTGATCTTGGTGTTCATGGTGATTTGAGCAG